TACAATAGAGAATGCAAGTCTTGCGTCATCGCCGCATCACGCGGCAAGGCGCACAAGAGGATCCCACATGCTGAAGCTTATACGCTGTCGATTGACACTGCAGGGCCATTCATGCTGGCGGACGACCAACTTGGGAAGGGCCGCTTCGTGCTGGTGGGAGTCTACCTGGTTCCGGTGACCAAGAGTGGCCAATCGCTCATCCCGATCCATGAAGAGGACGAGTTGAAGGGGGCTGGAGGAGATGGACCAGAGCTCACGGTAGTTGATGAAAGACAAGAAGACCCCGAACGGGAAGAACCTTGGCCTGGCCTGGACGATGAGAAGGAGTGGGTCTCATTGGTGGAGCCGGAGCAGGACTTCCAGGTAAAGCAGATCACGCTGGCAGAGGTCATGGAGAATCGGGGAGCATCGGCAGTCCTGGAAGCGGTGGGACGGATGGTGGCCAAACTGAACTTCCTGGGTCTCCCGGTCAAACGGCTTCATTCCGATCGTGCAGGCGAGTACCAGAGCAAGATGTTTGACAAGTGGGTACGAGATAGAGGCATATGCCGCACCTTCACTGATGGAGATAACTTCAAAGGGAATGGCCGTGCAGAGGGAGCAGTGGCTCAGCTCAAACGTGGTGCACGAACCCTCCTGGTGGCGGCAGGCCTTGATGAGAGCTATTGGTGTCACGCTTCGAGGCACTGGGCAGACACCCGACTCAGAAGTCAACTGGAGTCAATGGGGTGGAAGCGGCGACAGCTGGCGACCTTTGGCCAGGTGGTCTGGGCTAAGAGGAAGCTGTACAGTGATCGCCAGAAATACCTGTCCACGACCAGAACCCAAGTGAGGGTTCTTTGCCCAGCGGTTACCATGTCGATGACGTCGCCGGGATACTTCGTGGAGGAGCTCGCCACGGGAAAGCTGTTCCACACCGCTGACATCATTCAGGTGGAGGACATGCCGGAAGGGGTGGCTCTGCCAGATCGAGAAGCGGGCATGATTCACGAGGTTGATGACCGGGAGGAGGTGGAGCAACCACGGAAGAGACCGGGAAGAACTCGAGGGAAGATCAAACTCCTCCAGCTGGAGCCGGAAGTGGAGTCCGCAGATTGGGGGGAGCTGCAACATCGGGGGGCAAGGATGTTATCCCAAGAGCTTCAACTTCTGGAAGAGGACTCCGGAGAAGTCAGGAACGAGAGATTCTTGAAGGCTCTCACGATGGAGGTGGAGGAGATCAGCCAAGAAGCCGTTCGTGCAGGTCGACAGGAGGAGAAGAACATGGTCGCAGAGATCGAGGAGAAGTCAGAAGAAGCTCCAGAGTTCCTACAGACGCGGATGGTGGGTCTGGCGGAAGTGAGGAGGAACCTAGATGAGTGGAAGCCATCCATGATCGAGGAGTACACGGCCCTGACCAATGAGTCCGAGGCGGTGGAGGCCATTAGCCAGAGGGAATCTGATCGACTGAAGGAGGAGGCGAGGGCGCAGGGCAGAGACTTTGATCTTGTGCCAGCGAAGGCCATCTTCAGCCGAAAGGCAGGCGCTGGAAGACACAAATGTCGAGGGGTAGCATGTGGAAACTTTATGAATGCCAAGAGCTCTGAATCTACGTTCGCCTCAGGTGCCAGCGGGATCGAGGTGAGGACGCTGATCAAGATGGCAGCGATCAACCAGTGGGCCTTGGGCACCCTTGACGTCAAGACGGCGTTCCTCAACGCCCCTGCGGCCCACGACCGTGGGGTGGTGGTAGTTCAGCCACCACGAATCTTCCAGGAGGCTGGAGTACTTCGAGATCAGAAGGAGTTGTGGCTTGTCAGAAAAGCCCTTTACGGGTTAGTGACCTCTCCACGGGATTGGTGTGACCACCGAGATGGAAAGATTAGAAATTTCCAGTGGATGAGAGAAGGGAGACCCGTGAGGGTCCAAGGAACACCTCAGGCGGACATCTGGCTGGTGCAGGAGCAGGATGATCGAGGTTCTTGGACTACAAGGGGCGCAGTGGCCACGTACGTGGATGACGTCCTGATGGCGGGCGAAGAAGAGATCATCCAGGGGTTCATCAACCAGGTCCAGATGCACTGGAAGATTGGGGAACCGGAGTGGGTAAGAGAAGGCCGAGAACCGGTGCGCTTCTTGGGAATGGAGATTGAGAGGAAGGGCCAGGACTTTGCCCTCCACCAGCGGGCATACTTGGAAGGCCTGTTCATGGAGTATGACGAACAAGGGAAGGCATCCTTGGGCCAGATCAAGACTCCGGATGAGGAAGAGAACCCGCAGCTGACTGAGGTGACTCAGGCCCAGAAGGAAACTGGTGAACTCCTATGGGTGGCTGGAAGGACGAGACCAGATGTCTGCCTTGCGGTGAGCATCATGTGTCAATGGGCCACAAAGAGGCCGAGAGCGGTGATGGCCATCGGGAAGCAGGTGAGGGCCTACCTTCGACAGACCAGGGGAGAGGTGCTGTACATCTCCGGCATCAGCGATGATGAGGAGGAGAAAGAGAACTGCCTGAACCGGGTCGATGTGTATTCAGATGCATCATATGCCTCATCGGACATGAAGAGCCTGACTGGCGTTGTGGTGTGCGTTGGAGGCACGCCGATCACCTGGCATACTACTCGACAGGCATTCATCACTTTGTCGACGGCGGAGGCTGAGCTGATGTCGATGCTGGAGAGCCTAATCTGTGGCAGGTCGGCGGGAGCATTGATGGAAGCGATCCTCGGTGAGAAGGTTCAGGTCCGACTGCACTCCGATTCGACGGCAGCTATCGCCATTGCAACTGGGACGACGTCATCGTGGAGAACAAGACACTTGAGGATCAGGGCGGCAGGATTGACTGAAGCTCTGAGGTTGAAGGAGGTGTCATTGGACCATGTGGCGGGAACAGAACTGGTGGCAGACGGCATGACGAAGCAGCTCACCGGGCAACCACTCCTGAACTTCAAGAAGTCACTGAGGTTGAGGACGATGGATGAGAAAGTGGAGGGCATTGAGGTCAAGAGACTGGAGCTGAATGGGGGAACGCCGGACCCCAGATTTCTGAAGGTTCTCGGGCTGATGATGGTGGTGGCGAGTATGGTGACCAGGGCCGAGGCATCGGAGACTGTCAAGGAGGAGGGGAACAGTGAGTGGTGGATCTTGGTGCTGTTGACAGCAGCCATTGCGATCTTGGGGGATATCATCCTTCGAGTGGGCTCTGCAGGAGTCCAGCGGTGGTTCAAACCCAAGGAGGAGCTGAAGGTGAAACTCCTTAATCCAGAAGCCATCCTACCCTCTCGAGGCTCCGAACAGGCGGCAGGACTGGATCTACACTCTACCATAGAGACGATGGTTCAGCCGGGAGACAGCGTGCTGATCAAGACGGGCATCGCACTGGAACTTCCGAGTGGAAGCTATGGAAGAGTGGCACCAAGATCATCGCTGGCGATCCGGGGAATTGAGACTGGAGCTGGCGTGATCGACCGAGACTTTAGGGGAGAAGTCAAGGCGCTCCTACGGAATCACTCCGATGTGGACCTCAGGATTTACAAGGGCGACCGAGTGGCGCAGCTGGTGGTTGAGAAGATCTTGGAGGTGAAGGTGAACTGTGTGGAAGAGTTGTCCTCGACCGCCAGGGGCTCTCGGGGATTCGGGTATTCAGCTCATGAAGATCTGTACCCGTGGGCAGAACCTGATGACCCAACCTATCAACGTCAAGAACTTGGGACCTCTCATCCGGTGGATCGCATTTCGGTGAGAGCGTTGAGGATGAACACCAGTCCCTGGCAGACCCCGACGGCATCCGCTGGGCAGACACCAGTGCGTGACGAAGAGGATGCTCCCCTTCCAGACCGGCCTGAACCAGAAGGACACCATCGAGGACAGGCTTCGGGGCTATGGCATCGAGGCACTCAGACAGAGACGGCGCAACAGGGGGAACTACCTCACGGTCATCGAGAACCTTCGGATGAGCTTCGAGTACCCGATTCTGAACTATGGTGTCGAGGGGCATATGACGCCGAGGCAGAAGAGAGACGACGAGCCAACCTGGGACTGAACCTCAGCGCTTGGGATCGCTATATGGTCCGTCGAGGTCCAGGACGAAACCATGGAGGCACCTGGGTGATGCTGGATTTGGAGGGGGTGCACTTCGTGGCACACGATCCTGGAGATGGCCGGGGACCCCCAAAGCAGAAAGATTCAGGAGCACGTGGAAGTGAAGGAGATGAAGCACCACCCCAGGAAGGCGAGACAATCTCGCAGGCTCAGCCTCAAGGTCGATTGCCGAGAGTGGAACCACTACGACTGATCACCACGGTCGATGAGGGAGTGGTGCTTGGGAAATGGATTCATGAGGAAGAGATGTGGGACTACTTGAGGACTCCTGGCTTTCAGAAAGGGTTCATCAACGGAGCGGCCCTCAAGGTGATCTCCACGCCGCCGTTGAGAACTGCGGCAAAGGACTCGTGGGAGTACTTGATCGACCACGAGAATGGAAAGAAGATTGGCATTCGGGTGCACCACCAGACCCGGAAGAAGCTGTACGACTTCGAGGCGGCGATCCTTCTGGAAGAAGAGTGGGGCAAATGGAGGATGACGGTGGCATGGCCGCTGGTCGGAAAGCGGAAGACCATTTTGGTCGACGAGAGAAACGGCAGGAAGGGGCTCCATCTTGACACTTGGTGGGGGTATACCCTCTTCCGCTCAAAGTGAGATGAGGGCTTGAGCTGAGGCCTGAAAGCGGGCCGAATTTTGAAGGCAGTGCGGCTCCGGATAGGTGTGAACACCTAGGGGGAGTGTGGAAGCCCGCACAAAGAGAGAAGTGTACCAAGTTTCTTTTAGACAGGTCACGGCCTTTTTGGCTATGAGCAGAGTAGATCTGAGTGAAGAAGTCAGGTCACGGCCTTTTGGGCTATAATCAAGTGTACTCGAAACACCGAAGCCCTTTTTTGCAGCAGAAAACAAAGCTGCTGAGCTCGCGTAGATTCATTCCCCCAAAGCCTTTCTCAGAGCACCTAAGGCAAGACGTGACCGAGATGACCATGCGAGCCCTCCAAGCCAGCCGCGAGCAGATGGCTCCGCTCAACATGGACGGCGTGTGCCTCTTCCGGTTGACGCGCATGGCAAAAACCGAGCACGTGCAGCAGCTGCTGTTGAATCCTGATGGGCCCTTGGCAGCGCTTCATGCGCGTGTTCTGGAGGCCGGTTGCGAGGTGAATCCCGATTGGAGCCCGGTGAAGGTGCTCTTCGTGCCGATCACTGAAGCCCAAATGAATGAACTGCAGGATCTGGCTGATTTTGGCTTCTTAGTTTTGTTCTGCAGCATGTTTTGTGCTTGATTTGTGAGGACTTGAGACAGGCTGACTATAGGTTTGTTTGCTTACGGCTTATGCACTCTGGTTTCCTTCATGTGTTGATTGCCGAGTCCAGGCAGTACAAGGCGTTATGCTAGGCCGCATCCCTGCCACAACTTAGGATACGAGCTGCGCAGGGATGTGCATTTGTTAGCCTTGCAAGAGGATCAGCGCATCATCGAGGCCGCCTTCCGGAACGCATTTCCCAGCGCTGGGCGGCCGAAATTGAAGCAGGTGGGCCCCACGCGAGATGTGCCGAATATGCGCAGGGAGGATGGAGAAGAGGCCGCAGATGATAGTGAGGATGATGGGCCTTGGCTGGCATTGGAAGGTGGATTTCAGACAGATTCAAGTGTGGGATATCCATCTTACTCCAGGGCGGAGCTGTGATACGTTTGGCAAAGCCTGTGCTAGCCACGGTCGTGAGCCGGGATTGCTTTGGTTAGCCGACGAATGTCGACGTAGTTGTGAAAGTTTCTGCAAAGCCTGTGCTAGCCACGGTCGTGAGCCGGGATAGCTTTGCTTTGCAGCAGACGCAGTTGTGAGAGCTTTTCGAAAGCTTGCGCTAGCCACGGTCCTGAGCCGGGATAGCTACAGCTTTGCGGCAGTTGTTTTCCTAATTCATTTATGCACTGCCGGCTGATTTTCAAGCCTGTCAAGCACGTATCATGTAATGGCAATGACTCGTGTCGTTGTGTTTTCCATGGAGATAACCAGGCTGGGCAGTTGGTGATGGCAACGCATAGTGGGAAATCGGCCCTTTGCGAGAACAACTTAGATTGACCAAGGCGCAGGCACAACCCTGCAAGAATCTGTACCTCTTGAACGAACACTGTCTAAGGTGAAAACCTCTTGGTCCAACTGAGTTCAACGGGTCTTTCGTTGTTTCGCGTTCGAAGTGGGCTCGGAAGTGGCGCTTGGGGCGCTCTGTACAGACAATTCCGATGTGCACTAGCCATTGGTCGCGAGCCTTGATAGATGCACAATGGAATCCAGGCGTCAGGACCAAAACGCAGCAGAGATGTGCAGCCAAAGGGTTTGTGTTCATCTATTGGGGGGTTCTAGATGGGTCTAGGCTAGGGTCCAGTCCCGACATCATATAACATCACTTGTGCTTTCCTCTTAGTTTTAGGATAGACCCACGAACCTCGACTACTGCACGCCAGCTTGAGGCTCAAGAGGCCTATGAGGAGTTGCTGGAGCAGCGAGCGGAGCTTCAACGCAAGGCAGCAGAGTCTTCAGCGGATTGGATCCGAAGGGCAGAGAGGGCCATCGGTTTTCCCCTCATGGGTTGAGGTGAGGACGTCATGGTGGGATCATGTGGGGGGTCTCTTTCTTCGAAAGATCCAACGACCTCCAAGCGTGCAGAGTGGTTTGATGTCCATGGATTTCATGGACATTGCTGCTTCCGGTTTTTGCGTGACTCGCCCATCCTCCCTATACAAACTTGTACTGGGATCATTCATCAAGACTGTCCATCAGAAGTAGCTCTCACCCAAACAAGAGACAGTCTCGAATCTCGACAAGCATGACTCTTACCAACATCTGTGGATGTCCATCTCTTCTGACGCTCAAGTCTATCGAGTAAGACAGTTCCCCAGAAAGAAGCATCTCCGAGTTGTGTTGTTTTGGTGACACACCTCAAGGAACCCAACACAGCCTAACAACAACCCTAGGGACCACAAAGGGGTCTCCCTGCAGGACCCTCCAACAGGTCTCCTTCCGCGCCAACCGCGAGGTGCAGTTCCTCCTGCAATCCCAACGACAAACCGCGGCGTCACCGTTGGCGCACGAGGCAATGTATGGTCTGATTGTCTGATTTTTTGCTCTCCCATTCATGCTGGAGATTGTTGGGATCCACAGCCATAGTACAGAGAGCGGCCGTGTTTTCCCACCGTATGGAGGTTCTATGAAGCATTAGTTTCTGGCTTTTGGTAGAGGTTTCTAGTTGAGCTCTTCCGGCGTTGGAACCCCAGAGAGCTTGTCTCCCCAGTCGAGTAGCCCTGCACCGCAGTCCGCGCCAGGTCTATGGTCCCATGGACCCAGAGAATCCGCACTGCCGACGCTACAGGTGCCGAGTGGACAACAGGGAGAGGCACAACAGAGTCCTTTCTATAGAAGCTTCGGCGCGGCACAACGGTTGTTTCGTTGGGATTCTTTGGGTGCAGTCTCAACGCTTGGAACTAAAGGAGAAGCCGAACACGGGTTGTTGTAGAGTAACTGCAAAGTTTTACTCATTTAACAATAGGTGTCAATTGGGGGAGTGTCACAAAGCTGATATAACTTTCGATGCACTTGTGAGTCTTTGAGTGATCCCTCGGTTTGGTCTTCCAACTCCAGCTAGTGGTATCTTGAAAGGGGAACAAACATCCACGGAGTCCACAGATCGCACTTTTGGAAGAAGGCTCGACAACTCTGGCAGCTTCGCCAGGCGCTACTGGATGGAACAAGCTCCTCGGGCGCCACGACCGGCGCCCCAAGCGCCTCCAGCGGCGCAGCAGGTGGCGCCTCAAGCGGTGCCTCAAGCGCCTCCGGCGGCGGCTCCGGTGCCCCAGGCGCTGAGGGTGGATGGAAGTCATGGCACGTTTCTTTTGGGTCTTTGAGTCTTTGATGCAGTCATGGTGCAATCTACACAATAAAAACATATGATTATAGTTGGATGTGGGCTGGTGGGTCGATGGCTGGGTGAAACTCATTGGTGGGACATGTTTCTTTTCGTGCAAGGCACCCACTCCCAAGCATCGGTCGTGCCTGGTCGCAGCCTCCGCCAACCCTTCAGGCGGACGTGCCAGAGGCGACGCAGAGTTGCCTTCGGCGGCAAGAAGCGATACGCTTGGCGCAGCAAGAGATGGAGGCGATGCGGATGTGCATCCCAAGACGTGCCACTGAACCAAGAGGTTTGGCAACCAACTGAAGTCATGGTCTACATAGAGGGTTGACCAAAAAGAGCAGTCTTCATGAGTTGAGACAAACAAGCTTCTTCACTTTCTACGGTTCTTATCGCATATCACAGCCTTACCAATCAATCATTGACATGCTATTTTTCCAGAGCGGCCAGACCGGCCCAGTTGACCGGGCCCACCCCTCTGCGAGGCCAACTTCAACCGAGCTCCGATGCACGCGGCTTCTGCCTCGGCTTCGCCAGCTCGACCGTGTGACCAAGGCGGGTGCTCGTTGAGCCCATGTCGTTGAGGTTGGCGAGGTCTGGTGAGGTCTAGGTGTTGCAGAAGTTCTGTGAGTGCCAAAAGAATGACAGATCCAGAGGTTTGGGGGGAGTTTGTTGGCAAGAATATTGTGGCAACATGTAGTACACGCAATGAACAAATTTGTGGGTTTCAAGGAGGGTTGAGAAGTAGAATGAGCTTTTTGCAGGTTTGGGAGAGAAGAGGCAAGTTCCAAGTCCCGTTTGGGTTAGCCGCATTCGCCATATCCTGGCACCGCTTGCGCAGACCGGAGCAGAGCAGGAAGAGCTGGGGAATTCAGCACAATGCTCGGGCTGCCCAGCTTCAGTGGAGCTGGTTAGACTCCTCAGCAGGTCTTTAGCTTTTCTAGCAGATTGTTTTGAGCAATGCTGCAATGCTACCAAATGCCCCCAAGAAGTTTCACTTCTGTCCCTATTCCCTCTCTTTCCATCCTCCATTTCGGCCTCAATCACAGGAGCACACCCACCCACAGGACTACGTTCAAAAAGCAACAACAAACATCACCCCCTAGAAGCCTTCAAACGCCTGACTGACTGGACCCCCTTGAGCTCCACGAAGACTTCGCCCATTCTCTGCCCACCCAGGCCCACCGCTGCCCCTGCTGCGCCGCCGGCTTCGCCGCCGGAGCTCCGTGCCTCGGGTGCTCCACGCCTCTTTGCGTCGCGGCCTGCGGAGATGGAACGGCGGGAGGCACCTGGGGGGGGGCAGATGCTGTGGTGGCGGCTGGAAGACTTGGAGGGTGGACAACGGGTGGGAAAATAACCGCTTCTAATTACTTGAAATCTGAAATCTATGGTTGTGTCATTGGAGTCGCCACTCATAGATATAAGGCCAACTTCATGTCATTTGCGAGGTTTGTGATGATACCATCTTCTTGCCCTTGGTACTTTCTTGTTCCCTTTCGGATGGGTCAGTTACACCTCGGTGCTTTTTTTCATCTCCTGACCCAACTTGCTGCGAAACATGTAAATCAACTTTATGAACATGAATCGAACAAGCTTACGGGATGCCCAGCAAATTGGAACCGTGAACTACCTCCAAGAGCCGATTGGTACCGTGAACTTTTGTTCGAATCGGGCATAGTGAACCTTCAGGGTTGGCCCAAAGCTCATTGGCTTGGAAATTGTTTCGGGGGGAGTTGTGCGGAGGTTTTATTCTGCATCTCAGTTCTCAACGTTTCATTCTTAAGTATAGACTGTATATCTAATGTATATCTATATATATATCTTATTACTTTATATATCTATACAGTATATATATATATAATATATATAGTTTACGTGTTTTTTTTTCTCTAATGTGCGTTGACATACAGAGGCATTCCGACCTCAGACAAGCAGCCCCGACTGGCCCAGGCCGCCCCTGCCCCTGAGATCTGGCCCTCACGCGAGGAATCTCCGAAGGATGTGGTGGCCTCGATGGTGGGACCTGGTCGACGGGTGGCCACTGGTTTGAGCCAGGGTGGCTCCAATCCTTTGGATATCTTTTTGGAACAGCCATCCAATGGAATCTGGAAGTTCAACCATCTGATCATTGGAACTTAGCACCATCCAAACTAGGGAGATTGCACCTCAACCTCCATGTTTTAAAGGTTCACTCACTTCACTTCACATCTTTTCAACCTCAAGACGCCATACCGAACCGAACGGGGGTTCAGGCCACCGAACCGCGTGTATAGTCACCAGACCCCCCACAGGTGTAGTATATAACTCGCCTCGGGTGGTGTGTCAATTTCTGTGGACTTTCCATGACCGTCCTCACCGTGACCCGCAGCCTTTTCAGCTGAAAAGGCATTCTAAGTTAGGCCTTTCAAGTTCCAATGCTTTGCAGCTTGGCGAGAAGGAAGGCGTCTGGTGAGCTTGGGGTTTTCTTTTCATTTCTTCTTGGAACTTCGACACTGAGAAAGGACAATTGGATCCATTTGTAATCTTGGATGATCTATTCCCTATGCTTATTGAACCTGGTTTTAGACAGTCTTCAACAGGGCACAGTGGCAAGACACCTTGGCTCAGAAGTCGAGCAAAATCATGTTCTCAGCTGCTCCACATGATCCACTTTGCCCCGAATCGGGGTGGCCACGACCTCACTGGCCCCGGGTCCCCTTTTTTGGACCAAAGATAGAACCTGGAAGCACCTCCAGATGCGGTGTGTACGGCGCGTCGGACACGTCCCTGAAGCGAGGAACGT